GGGTCGGTCGGTGTGGGTGGGTTTCCTCGCCTCATCAGCCGGGCCGTGAGGTGGGTGGGGGTGGGTGGGTGGTGCCAAGCCTCAGCCGGGCCGTGAGGTCGGTGGGGTGGGTGGGGTGGGTGGGTGGTTCCAAGGCTCAGCCGGGCCGTGAGGTCGGTGGGGTGGGTGGGTGGTTCCAAGGCTCAGCCGGGCCGTGAGGTCGGTGGGGTGGGTGGGTGGCTCAAGAAGCTCCGTGCACGTGAACGGATGTGCAGAGGCACGTGGGTTGAGAAAAAACGCAACGCTGGGATGAGCTGTGAAGGAGTTTTGTTGTTTGAGCTGTGGGGCGGTCCCTCCCTTGAGTGTCTGTTTTCTTTCTTTCTTTCTTTTCATCGCTCTCCTCGGGCCTGGGTTATGTTTTTCTCGTTTGTTGTTGATGTTGAGAGATGTTTTGTTTGATGTTGTCGTTCTGCGACGCCACCGCCGCCTGCCGATCCATTGAAAACATAAAAAGGAAAAAGGACCGCCAGCCGCCAGCCCCACTCCGCGCGTCTGTCCAGCGGCTGCGAAAATTTCTCAAAGTCGCGGAGATCGCCAAAATTAACCTTCAATCTCAAACCCTCATTCCAACAGGCATCCCATGTCCCTGATGCACACCGCTCGCCCGTGGCCCCGCCGCCCAGCCCCGCCGCCGCGCGCCACGCCCGCGCCCGCCGCGCGCCCACACCCTCGCCCACACCCTCGCGCGGCCGCCCGCACACCGGCCGCGACTCACACCCCGCTCCGCGCCGCGCCGCCCTCACGCCAAGTTCCGCCCGCGCCGCAGAACAATCATGCTCTCCACTGTCGCCCTCGCTCCCGCCTTCAACGCGCCCGCCATGCGCGCGCCGGCCACCCGCTCGGCGGTCACCATGTTCTCCGAGGGCGACCTCGGCGTCCTCCCGCCGCTCGGCGTCTACGACCCGCTCGGCCTGATCGAGACCCGCGACATGCGCCGCTATGAGGTGTGCATCGCGCCCCCGCTCCCCTCCCCCAGCCTCTCCCAGCCTCCCGTCGCCGCCTCGCCGCCTCGCCGCCTCGCGACCGCCCCACGCCCTCCGCCGTCTGGACCCACCTCTCACTCCGCCGCGCGCGCCCGCCCCGCAGATCATGGAGATCAAGCACGGCCGCGCCGCCATGCTCGGCTTCCTCCACGTCATCGCCCTCAAGGCGGGCATCGTGCTGCCGGGCGACCTCTCCCCGTCGCTGGGCATCAAGTTCTCGGACGTGCCGACCACCTGCTTCGGCTCGCTCGAGGCGGTCCCCACCTTCGGCTGGCTGCAGATCATGCTCTTCACCTGCATGCAGGAGACGGGCGCGTCGCCGCTCGCGGAGGCGCAGACGGACGACAAGGAGGCGGGCGACATCGCCATCGACTCGTGGGTGCGCTACGACGACCCCGAGACCAAGACCTTCAAGCTCAACGCCGAGCGCCAGAACGGCCGCGCCGCCATGCTCGGCATCACCGGCTGCCTCGTGCACGAGCTCCTCGGCGTCGACGCGCTCTACCCGACCGGCGGCCTGGGCGGCGCCGCGCCCCCGGCCATCTTCTAGGCTCCCTCTCTTTGCCGGCGCCCCTCACGATGCCTCGCCGGTGGGAAGATGTCCCTGACGGTCGGGGAGGTGTGAGGTGTCTGTGGAAGTACGGTCCTTGTTCTTGTGTTAAAAATGTCGAGAGGCAAACGGAGACGCCGACTCAGCCCAGGCGGCACGCGTGCGTCACTGTCACCCAGCGTCATGTTTTAGCTTTTACAGATACAGATACACACCCAGCCCGCGGCGCGTCCCCCCTCCCCGACCCCGTCCGGCGGGGCGCTCCTCAGAGGTAGGCGTCTCCTAACATTAGTGTGTATGGCATAGGACAGGATAGCACTAGCATATGCGCCTAGTGCGCACTGGGCCCACATAGATGTGACCCGCCCACTCGAGTGCGGCGCCCGGATGCTAGTGCTTGAGAAGACACCACAGAAGAGAGTGTTTTTCCTACGCGGCAACGCGATGGCGGCAAGGCCTCCTGCGTGCCCGCCCTCCGACACGCCGATGACCAACCGGCGTCGGACCGCGGTGAGACCGCGCCGCCCTCCACGCCCGCCCGCGCCCGCAGCGTGAACACATACGCGCGTCCCTCTCCGCACGGAAACGGCCGGGCGCTCGGCGATGATCTTGAGCTTAAGTTTCATTCACAGACTATCACGCACGTTCTCCGCCGCGAGCATCTCGGGCTCACGAGGCGAGCTCCCCAATGCGCAATGGCAGTCGTGTCTATAAGCACAAATGGGTCGCACACCGTCCACCGCGGTGTCTCACCTCCTCCGCTCACACTGAGGCACACCTCACTCCGCCATCTCTCACTTACTCAGCCATCGCAGCACGCCATCTCCACGAAGCCGGGCAGGACCGGCACCGGGTAAAAAACGAGCACGCGCAGCAGCAGCGCCACCGCCCACCGCGGCCCCGCAGGCGGCCACGGCAGCAGCGCCGGCTCGTCCGCCGCGCACGCACGACCGCTAGCGTTGACGACGCAGCGCTCCTCGCCGCCTCCCACGCCGGCTTGGTGCGTGTACGTCACCGGAGTGCCGGCGGTGGCCGCGCTCGCCCAGTCAATGCCGCCGCCGCCGACCGACTGGCTCGGTAGCCGCGCGTAGGTGATGGAGAAGTTGGTGTCGCGCTGCCTGGCCTCGGAGATGAGCCGGCGGAGCTCGAGCGCGTGCACCGTGTACGCCGGCGCCGGAACGCGCCCCTCCGCCGGCACGCTCGGGTTGCTCGAGTCGGCCACCGCCGTCTTTGTCTTCGCCGCCTTCGCCTCTTCTGCGGCTGCCTTGGGAGCGCCCCGGTCGTCCTCCGGCCCGCGTGTGGAGCCGTCAACGTCGGGCCGCGGGCCGTAGACGCGGCCGACGAGCGGTAGGAACTCGCGGCCGGCGTGCCCGAGCGCGCGCAGCCGCGCGGTGGCGGTGGGCCGCAGCACGGGCGTCACCTCGAGCGGGTAGATGCCGCGGATCCAGCGGGACGTGGTCGCGTCGACGCGCACCACGCCGCCCGCAAACGGGCCGGCGTCCACGTGGACGCCGCCGACGCCGCCGGCGTCGTCAGTGGGCGCGGCCGCCGCTTCCGCCGCCCAGCGCTGCAGCAGGCCGGTCGGCAGCAGCAGGTGGTTGGAGCCGCCGTGGGTGCGGAGGTTGGCAAACATGTGGACGTTGCCCATGTCCTGCAGCCCGAGGACGGGCAGGCCGAAGGCGTATACGAGCGCCATCGCCGTGCACGCGCGCTGCGCGCGCTTCACCGCCGGCGCTGGCGGCGCTGGCGGCCGCGGTGCTCGTTTTGCGTCGTCGTTATGGTCGCCGTCTGCTGCCCGCGCCTCGACGACGCAACCGGCGAGCAGGACCGCGGAGATGGCCGCAAAGACGGCGCTCTGGAGGTCGTCGATAGCGCCGGGCACGCGGCCGCTGGCGACGGCACACGTGGCGGCGAGCGCGGCGCCGACGGTGAGGGCGCGGCCGCGCGCCCAGAGCACGGCGCGATGCGCCCCGTGCGGAACGGCGCAAAAGTAGCGCATGACCGCGACCGCCGAGAAGGAGCCAATGTTGTTGGGCGGCGGCGTGAAGCAGATGCCGGCGTGGAGCACCACGCCGAGCGCGACGCCGCAGCGCTGCAGCCGGCGGGAGGGCGCGAGCAGCAGCAAGCCAATCGACGTCTCGAGCACGCAGGTGAGGGCGCCGGCCGAGTCGGCGACGAGGCGCAGCAGGCGCGGGCTGGCGTCGGCGACGCGCGGTGCGTAGGCGTCGAGCATGGAGATCAGGTAGATGACGCTGCACGACGTGGACGCGCCGAGGTGCGACGTGTTGAGCTTCCACAGGCCCGCACCAAGGTAAAAGGCGCCGAACATGCACCGCACGGCCGGTGCGAAGGCGAGCACGAGGTCGTCACGGCGGGTGCCGGCGGCGGCGGCTCCGCGACGGCGGCTGTCCCGGCGCGCGAGGTGCACGGTGCCAACGACCAGCACGGCAGCGTCGGTCGCGAGGCACCAGATGTCGCTGTTGAATTGAAGCGGCTGGCGCCTGAGCTTGGCAGCGACGAATATGAGGTGCGCGAGCACGCCCACACCGAGCGACTGCGTCGCCGCAGCAAGCACGCCGATGGGCCCCGTGAGAGCTTCGAAGGAGAGCGCGGGCGTCGCAACCACCGACGAGCCGAGAAAAAAGTAGATGGCGTCCTGCAAGTAGCGCTTCACCGTGACGAAAGACTGGATGGACCAGAGGAGCAGATAAGTGGAGAGCAGGTCCGGTCCTTCAAATCGAGTATCCGCGCCATGCTCTCCACGTATCACATCGCGCGGCGGCGTCGCCTTGCGCGCCGGCTGGACGCGCGTAGGCGTCGCCATTGGCTGTTCTCCGATCGTCACCCCCCCCTTGAGTGGAGTCACGCGAGAGCGACCACCACCTCACTCAGGCGCGCATGGAGCTCACGGCGGGTTTATCGCGCCCCGAGGGCGCAGGTGCATGCTGCTCGGGTGGAGAGTGGTGGTCGCAAACGGGCGGGCAGCGACGACGGCGCATGACCTGAGCTGCCGAGGACGAGAGGGGCTAGGAGAGGGGCAGGGCGTGAGTGAGTTCCTTCCTCCCTCGCTGACTGACTGATAGACAGGGGAGAGAGATGTCAAGAGAAATAAACAGAAAAGCCAAGGGAGGGATGGGAGGACGGACGCTTCCGTCCAGCAGCATTTCTTTTTTCCTCGCAAGATAACAGGCGTCATGTTTTACACACCCAGTTGCGGCCGCCCGCAACGTACGACACCTTCAAAACTAGAAAGAGGGGGGGTCGATAACGGCACTCGCGCACGATCTCGCGTTCCGCCCTCAGCTCCTGCGGGGCGTGCCACAGACAAAAGAGAGACACAAAGATCGTCAACAGACAACACAGTCGCCGATACAGGGAGTCGCAACCGCGCACACCGCGCTCACCGGTGGAGTCCGGGGTCACCGGGGTCAGCTCACCCGCCAGCTCGGTCGTTCAGAGTGCCGCTTCGAGTACCCGCACTTCTGACACAGCCAGAGGGGGAGGTGGCCGTGGTTGGTCGCCATCCCCATGCCACTCCCGCACATGGGGCAGACCTCGGTCTGCGCGTCCTCGCCGCGGTTGGTCTGCGAGGTCGCCCGCGTCCTCGCCGCCGCCGCCGACGGAGTCGGTGTCTCCGCCGCCCTGCGCCTGGGCGCCGGCATAGGAGACGCGCCTCGGTCGCGTGGGGCAGCCGAAGGCGGCGCCGGCGCTCGCGGCGCGCCTCCCCCGGCTGCGCCGTGCGGTCGCCGGTCGGACGCCGGCACGTCTAAAACGTGGTGCTGCTGCGGCGCGACGCCACCCTCGCTGCTCGGCGCGGCCGCAAGCGCCTCTGCGCCCCCCGACGGCGGCATCTCCCCCGGCCTCGAGAGCCAGCCTGCCGCGGCAATCTCCTCGGCGCCCATTGCCGGCTCCGACGCAACCTCTGACGCCACCGCCGACACCGCCGCCGTCGCCGCTGCCCAAGTCGGCATGTCCAGCGCACCGAGCCGCCGGCGCGTCGCCTCGCCCGCCTCCCCCCCCTCCTCGTCATCGCTCGCTGCCGCCGCCACGTCCGCAACCCCATCCAGCGCCGCCGCCGCCGTGCGCCACACCGGCGTGTCTAGCCACGCGGTCCAAGCCTGCCGCGCAGCCTCCTCCGCGGCCTCCGCGTCCGTGCCGGCCGCCGCAACGGCCCGGGCCACCTCGGACACCGCCGCCGCCACCGCCCCCCACGTCGGAGCGTCGAGCTTCGCGAGCCACGCTCGCTCCGCCACCTTGTCCGATAGCAGCGTGCACGCTGCGGCCTCGCCCGCGTCGCAGCGGGCCTCCAGGATCGCCTCCGCCGCCGCCGCCGCCGCCGCCTCCGCCACCACCGCCGCCGCCTCTCCCCACGCCGGCGCGTCGAGCTGTGGCAACTTGGCGAGCCGTGCAGCCCTCTCTGCGCGCGCCTCGGCGCTCCCCTGCGTCGCCTGCCGCACAAACGCCGACCACGCCTCCTTTGCCGCCTTCGGCTGCGTCGAGGCGGAGCCACCTCCGCAAGCAGGCGCTGCGGCATCGAGCTTCGCAGGCCGCTCGCTCTTGGCCGCAGCCGCAGCCGCCGCCGCAGCCGCCGACGTCTCGCCACCCAAGGGAAGCTGCAGCTTCCCAAGGAGCGCCTCCCTCGCAGCCGCCTCGGCGTCAAGCGAGGGCGGCTGCGCGCGCGGCGGTGGCGGCAAGGGCAGCGGCGGCGGCGGCGGCGGTAGGGGCGAGAGTGGCGGCAAGGGCGAGAGTGGCGGCGGTGAGGGCGGCAGCGGCGGCGGCAGTGGCGGTGGCGGTGAGCGCGGTGGCGGCGAGGGCAGCGGCGGTGGCGGCGAGGGCAGCGGTGGCGGTGGTGAGGGCGACGGCGGTGGCGGCGAGGGCAGCGGTGGCGGTGGTGAGGGAGGCGGCGGCGGTGGGAAGGGCGGCGGTGGCGGCGGCGGTGGCGGCGAGGGTTGCGGCGGTGAGGGCATCGGTGGTGGAGGCGAGGGCAGCGGCGGCGGCGGTGGCGGCGAGGGTTGCGGCGGTGAGGGCATCGGTGGTGGAGGCGAGGGCAGCGGCGGCGGCGGTGGCGGCGAGGGTGGCGGCGGTGAGGGCATCGGTGATGGAGGCGAGGGCAGCGGCGGCGGCGGTGGCGGCGAGGGTTGCGGCGGTGAGGGCATCGGTGGTGGAGGCGAGGGCAGCGGCGGCGGCGGTGGCGGCGAGGGTGGCGGCGGTGAGGGCAGCGGCGGTTCTGGCGGCACGGGTGGCGGTGGCGAGGACAGCGGTGTTCGCGGTGGCGGCGAGCGCGGCGGCGGCGAGGGCAGCGGCGGCGGCGGTGAGGGCAGCGGCGGCGGCGGTGAGGGCAGCGGTGGTGCCACTGCTTTCGGCGCCGGCGGTGGCGCCGGTGGTCGCGCTACAGCTCGCGCCGGTGTTGGTGGCATCGGCGGTGGGGTCGGCGGCGGTGCTGGAGCCGCGGCCGTCGCGACGTCCGCAGAAGCGCGACTGCCACGGTCGCGAATCAGCTGCAGGCCGGCCGCGAGTGCGAGGCCGGTGAGAGCGGCCCCGCAGCCAAAGGCGGCGGTAAGGGCAGCAGAGGTGGCGAGCGCTTGCACAGGGTGGCCCTCTGCACGCGGTGCACGCGGAAGGGCTGCGAGATCGGTGCTGGCGCGGGCCTTGCGCTCTCGGAGGGCCTCTTTGGCGGCCGCGAGGCGCTGTTCCGCCGACTCACGCCTCGCCGCTGCCCCGGCCGCGAGGCGCTCCGCCTCTGCCGCCAGCTTGGCCGACTCCTCCGCCGCCAGCCTCGCCGCGTCTGCGAGCCTCTTGGCCGGCTCGGAGCCCTCCTCCGCCGCCAGAGTCGCCGCGTCCTCCGCCGTTAGCCGCGCCGTCTCGGCGAGTCTCCTCGCCGCGTCCGCCTCGCGCAAGGCCCGCAGCGCCCTCCCACCCTCCTCCTTTGCAGCGGCAGCGCAGTGCCTAAACTCCTTTTCGGCAGCGCGCACGGCGGCGTTGCGCGCCTCGCCGCTGCCAAGCAGCCCGTATCCTCCGATGGCGGTGACGGGCCCGGCAGCCGCCAGTGCCGTGAGGACAAGGTTGCGGCGGGAGGCAATATGCTCAGCCCGTGGATCGTGCAGTGTGTGGTCGTCCCGTGGATCATGCACGGCCGTGGCCAGGCTGGAGCGCCTTGGTCTCACGCGCGGCGCTTGATGCAGCGCGGCTGCTGCACCTTGCAGCGAAAGCAGAAGAACGAGCGGGAGCGGCCGCATATATGATGAGTCCCTGGACTGTCCTGGTGAGCGAGCTCTGGCAGTACTCGCTCTCTCGAGGTCTCTTGGAGCAGAGCCCGAGTCCTCGAAATGGGTCCTCGGAGAGGGTACCCTGGGTGGGCGGGGCCTCTAGTTGTTGTTACTCTGTTCGACGTAATCGTAAAGAAAATAGCGACACCACGCTAAAGACCTGTAGACCTCAGCTGAACCCATCCTCTCCCGCCTCTGCTCTCCGCGACCAGTAGCGCTCCCCGTACTCACACCCGAGCTCCATCGGCGCGCTGTTTCTGAAGGTGACGTCGGCCGCCAGCGTGCTGACTGGCCGGCTCGGCCGCGCCACACTCGGTCGGTCGGGGTCTCGTTCGAGGCGCTGCACGAGCACGAGCACGTTGCGCGACCGCGACTCGGCGCTGTACTGCGAATCGCCGCCGCCGGCGCCGCCCGCCAAAGACATGGCCAGGTCGTTGGACATCTGCCCGATGTTCATGATGGAGAGGTCGCCCTGCTCGCGGCTCGGCACAAAATAGCGCGCGCCCCCCCAGTCCGGGTCCGGCGAGATCGCCTGCACGCGCCCGCCCGCGTCGCGCTCCACCTCGTGGCCCGCGATGTGGCGAACGCCGCTGCCTGGCGCGAGGAGGTCGGCGACGCTCCACAGCTGCTGCTCGAAGAAGACGCTGGTGTCGGCCGAGCGCAGCGCAAAGCCGACCGTCTTGCCGCCCTCCGAGTCTGCCGCCATCTCCATCCCGCCCGCCGCGTAGCCGCAGAATGCCACGCCTGCGGGCAGCGTCACCGAGTCGACGCCCTCCGCCAGCCGCACGAAGAGGCCGCGCCCGGCGCCTCCGCCGCCCGCGAGCGAGTCAGCGACCTCGAGCACCAGCCCAACCTCGGGCAGCTCCACCTACGGCGGCGTGTCCAGGACGTGTCTTGGACCTGCCCTCGAGCACCCGACCCCGCCTCGGGCAGGCTCGACCGAGCAGACGAGCCCTTGCAGCCCCTTGGCCGGAGTCGGCCCGTCGTACACTGGCGGCGCTGCCTGCACTAGCTGCGCCTCCCCGCCGTCGGCGAGGGCCTAGGGTTGGGGAAGGGTTAGGGCGGTGAGGGTGAGGGTGAGGGTGAGGGTGAGGGTGAGGGTGAGGGCGAGGTGAGGGCGGTGAGGGTGAGGGTGAGGGTGAGGGTGAGGGTCAGGTGCGCCTCCTCCCCGCGGTCGGCGAGGGCGAGGAGCTCGTCGTCCGACATCGAGAGCAGCTCCCGCTCCGACACCGACAGCACCTCCTGATCGCACACCGACGCCCCCACCTCCCCTCCCTCAGAGAGGTCTCCCTCAGAGAGGTCGTGTTGAGGCTCGCACATCGCGGCGCGCAGCCCGCCCCGCCCCGCAAGCTGAACGCCGCATGGGGCGGAGGAGGGAGCGCCGAATCGAGCGGAGGGCGCGCCGCCGCCTGCGCCCCCGCCAGCGAGGAGGAGCCGCAGCAGCATCGCGAGGAAGGCGGCCAAGCCCTGCCCGCTGCTCCCAGAAGCCGCCGCCCCGCCGCCGCCCGCCGCCTGCAGTGGCAGGGAGGGCCACAGTGGCCAAGGGGGAGAGAGCGGCCGCCACCCACTCGCCGCCCCGCCTCTCTGCACCGTCAGCTTACTAAAGAGTGGGGGCGCTCACGCGCGCGCGGCCGGCCCAGCCACGCACACCCCGCGGCCTCCCGCACCGCCCCCTCTTGCCCACGCGGGGCTCTCGCGCGGGCGCATTCGTGCGGCCTCGGGAAGGGGAGGGGAGCCCGGGCCGCCGCCTTTCGCCGCGGGCGGCCAATGTCGCACCGACAAAAACAGCGCCGCCCGACGGATCAGGGGCGGGCCGGAACGATACGGCGCAGGGGAATCTGCCTCGCCGCCTTTCCGCGAGCGCCGGGCGTCTGGCGGCGCGGCGGCAAAACTGGGAGGCATGGGATGTCGCCACGCCTTTACATC